GATTCCATGATGTATGAATGGGTGCATGTTGTTGCACCTTTTGCAGCGCAGGCATGTGCATGCCAGTTCGGCAAAGACTGGGCCAAATCCTGGATGTTTGTAGCCAACCGGCCTTCTATCAGCCACTTGGCCAGATCTTGCTTCCACCCACCCGGCACACATGAATCCGTGGTGGGGATACGTCTGCACGATGGCTTCTTCAAGAGCAGACTCACTGCAGAGTATCCGGAGCAACTGGAAATAGCGTTGGCTACAGTCATCCGGCCTTTTCTGACAAGCGGTGCACCTGTTCTGCGAGTGGAGGACTGGTGTTCAATCTTGCGCAAGAAGCCATCGTGGCCCACTCCACCTGGCCGCGTGGAGGATTGGGGGGCGGGCTGCCTAGTACAGCCCCACATATGAGTCTTCAAAAACGTGATCGCCTTGCCGCACTTCGATCGCGATGGTTCAAAAGGCTCAGTGATACCCAGCATTGCCTTCAAATCACTGCCGCTCTACTGTCTGGCTGCAAAGAACCAACAATGTCCCAGCAAGACCTGGCCCCTTACCTTGAGGACATGTTGGAGATCCTTGATTGCCCACCTGGTGACTTTCTTTTGGATATTGAATCCTGGCCATCCATTCAGATTGCAGTTGTGGCACCGCTTGGCTACTTTTTTGGGAGATCCAGATGCAGACTTCCTGCTGCAATTGCCTCATGGCGTTCCGTTGGGGGTCAATGAACCTTTGAAGCCATCCCCTGCTTGGCCAGCATACACGGGCACTTTGCCCGAAGAGGTACCACTTCAAGACTGTCTGGACTCATGGAAGAGCGCCCAGGATCATCCTGAAATTGTACAGTCATTAATCCAGGAGGAATTGGATGCTGGTTTCATTGCTCATGTTCCAGGTGGCGTGACACAGCTCAAACAGATGCGGTGTGGTTCTTGCACCAGGTCGCGCACCACAACTGGTCGTTGACAGCTCCGTCAGTATGGTGACAGCGAATACAGTCCTTCCCAATCACATGCTCTTGCCCAGGATTTCCGATGTGATGCAATGTGCTCCCATGGGGATGTCAGAACAACAGATGACCCAGCTCACTTTGGACGTGTCGAAAGCCCATCGCAGGATCCTGGTTGCTTTTGCTGATGGTGGCCTCTTGTGTTTCCACGCCAATGGGGAGCTCTACAGATGCGTCACATTGAATCTTGGAGCCCGTGCAAGCGGCTGGTATTGGGGGCGCCTGGCGCGCATCATGGTGCGCTCTTGTCACTCCCTCCTGGCACATGGCCATGCGCTTTGGCAGTATGTGGATGATCTCCTTGCTCGGTTGGACAAGACATCATCGCCACTTTGGGCATCGTTGATGGTTATCCTTCTGCTCATCCTGGGTGTACCTATGTCATGGCACAAAGCAGCCCTTGCAGACACCATCGATTGGATTGGATGGAGAATATCAGTCTGACAGTGGCCGTGCCACCTCAGAAGCTGACTAAGATCATTGACCAGATCCGGACGATTCAGGGCTCCTCTCGCCTAACACTGCGGGATTTGCAATCTCTGGTTGGTCGACTTTTGTGGCTAACATCCGCCTGGCATTACCTGCGACCACTGCTTATACCGCTGTATAAGGCATTGCATCGCATCCCCACCACAATGGTGGGCATGGACCATACCACTTTCCAGGCCATGATCACACAACTGGATGAACACTTGCAGCTGCGCTCGTCACTCACCCATAAACATCAGTCGCTTCGCCCAGGAGTTACACCGTGTCGGGTGGCCAACTCTCACGTGAAAACTCTGGCAGATGTCAAATCTTTGCACATCAAGTCCCGTCGTGTTTGGTTGGGGATCCTTGATCCCACATCACCACAACGAAAAGTGGATGATGAAGCATCGGAGACACTTCAAGTTTGGCTGCAACTCTTGGTTTCTACGCCATTTTCTTTGTCGATGTGTGCCCCAACATGGATTCAAGTCCAAGCGACGGCGGACGCAATGGCCTCGACTTCTATGGCAGGTTTGGGTGGTGCAGCCATCTTCCCAGATGGTTCATCAGTCTGGTTCCAATTCCGTATCTCATTAGACGAAGCGCAGACACTTTGGCCAGGACTGGGTGATGACATGCAGAAGCATATAGCAGCATGGGAACTTCTTGCCCAGTTCGCATTATCATTCTGCATTGAAGCCCATCTTCCCCGAACTCGTGGGCCAATCGCGTGCCAACAGGCTACGGACAATAGTGCAGCAGACGCTGCCTCTGCGAAAGGTCTCACTATGACCCCTGTCCTTGCAGCAATGTTGACACCATATTTCAAGTTCATGCGGCGATATCAGGTATTTCCATGCATTACCCACATCCCTGGTCGTTTGAACATTTTGGCTGACGAACTGAGTCGGTTTAAGGAACCTCTATCCACACCACTGGATTCGGCTGCACAGATGACAGTCCCTTGGACGGGCCTTCTGAGATCATCCGGCATTGAAATCACTCAGACTGGTCGAAAATGGCCGTCACATTTCGATGTTCATCTGCGAGAAAAAGGGTTGCTGCAGTCCACTGACTGGGTGCCGCCATCGATTAGTTTTTGGGGAGTTCTCACTCCGGCTGGTCGATTGTCGATAGGTTTGGTGCTGTTTGAACTCCCCACCTCTTTTTGTAGACGCCAGTTGATTGGAGTCTTTTTGGGGGGTTTGTGTTTGTAGGTCTAGCTGTACTTAGGACCCGCTGGTTCTATTTGTTGTGTACAGACCTGACCCAAACGATGCACCACGCCTAAAAAGAAACGTGCACCTTTGCGGCAGCCTTGATTCCTGTGTTGAACATCTACTGTAAATAAGAGCTTTTGGGAAACTGAAGCAACGGAAACCATTGCGTGAACCTTGCCGATTTCTTTCGTCCACCCGTAGGCCTCAAGGGCGGACAAAATTTCAAACGTAACTCAACGTGTTGATGGAATCTTATTTATGGAATGATATGTAAGAGGTTTCTGTTCAAACCATCAAAAGGACATTTGACATTGCTGACAGATTTTGATAGAAATAATCATATTGGTCGAGTCATGGGTGTCAGAAAGAACTTTTTATGCCACAAAAAATCATTGGACCAGTGCGTTAAACTTCATACCCGTCGCCGCTGCTCGTTCCAGTCGGGGACACGAGGCACCATTTTGGTGAAGTGTCCTTGCAGCTAAACATTTTTGTGCAAAATGTATCAGTTTCATGCCTGTCGCAGACACTCATTTTTTTTTGTACATGTTTTCGTACAAACTCACCAAGAACCATAGATCTTAACCACATTTTTTGACTTGTTGTGATTTGAACCAATGTCGAGTGCAACGCCAACACACCAAAGGGTCCGGTTTCTCAGTTATTTTCAGCTTGACCAAGGCATGCGGTGCAGGAATGTGCCACAGGTGGTCATCCGAGCTTGTGACCGTTCCACCGATTCCGAGGTGATTGGCTGAATTGTGCAGGATCGATGGCGTGTTCCTCAATGTGTTGCTTAAATTTCATGTAAATTTGATGGTTCAGCAAAAATGACTACATATGATCACATAATTTGAAAAGAACCCGACCCTCAGGTGTTCCCTGTTTATGTAGGGCTATCAAAATTACCATTTGACAGCCTTTGTCTACCGATTTTTTCATGTTGATATCGGTGATGTTTTGATGTTTGCGGTCCAGAATCTGCCAAACCTTGTGGTGATGTCTCTTTGTCAAAAAATCGCGTGCCCACAAAAAACGGATGTTTGAAAACCCGGGATCCATGCCAGGAGAGAAATCTATGTCCCAGAATGGGATGAATGGTAACATTTGCAAGAAAAACCTTTTTCAAGGTAAAAAAACCTACAGTTTCAGACCAATGTTCCCTAACAAAGCCACCCCCTTTCTTATATTGGATTATTGGTATAAAAAAAAACCATGTTTTTCGTGGTTCTCCGATCTCCCCAAGAATTCCCATGAAAAACATGGGTCTCAACGCTACGCTACGCTACGCCATTTGAGGCACCTCATTTAGGCAACAACGGACAGTTGTCGCGCGACGAGCGGGTGCAGCTCTATGGCATCGATTGCGATGATCAGGTGGGTTTTGATGGGGAGTTGATGGTGATTGGATATACATGGATATACCCTCCAGAAAACATAGAAAACATGTGGAAAATCCATGAAAATCCATTATTTGTAGATGATTTTCACAGGGAAACCATGTGTAGAAGTAAACAACTAACAGATGTATATATAGATGATTTTTACCTATGAACAAACAAGGTATATACTATGGTGTACATGGTCCATTTGTAGAGATCTAATGACCAACCAATCATGATTGTTCATGTTTTTTTCAACTCACCATATTGCCAATGACCAAAGCTATGGCTATGGTATAGATTCGGTCCATTCAGCTCCATGATTTGCCTATGAAAAAATGCTGATTGTCCATAGCTGTGTTGAATTACGAGAGGGTAGACATTTTTTTCCTTTGAAATCCAAAAAGATGCAGAAAAGTGAAATTTGAATCTTAAGATACTGGTAAATAAATGTTCTATATTATATATATATATTTTGGGGGTTGCTATACACAAACTATTTGATGTTATCAATATAGAAAGGAATAACGGGCATACTCATGGCCATAATCCAGTTATGAAAATTCGGGTGATGCCAATCCCAGATCAATGGTGACACTCCACGACCGAACCTGGATCCAGCTACAGTCGTGTCATAAACAAATCACGAATGGGGCCGAATGGGGTGATCAACCACCACATTCATTTGGGGGGTGAGGATGCACATCCAAGTTCTGGATTCACAATTCCTGGCTGATTCAGCAGGGAAACACCACCAAAACGGATGACTTGATGGATTATAGCCGGCCGTAGACTCAGATTGAGTCAAAATTTGGTATTTTGTTGTGTTAGGTGGAGTTTACCAAAATGCAAATAAATACATTTATTCCACCAAATGTTCGAGTTGTAGCAGGGGATCAGCTGCATCGCTTACATCGCCAGGTGATGTGGCATGAATGGACACCTGGCGTGGAAAGTGTCCAGGACCTCGTTCTGCAGAATGTGGCTCTGGTGACGCAGAAGGTGGGTTGGGGGCCCATCAGTTGTAGGATCTGATAGGATCTATCTTTGGATCTAAAAAAGGTTGCAGTTCTGGTCTGGAAACCTTGAAGGATTACCTTGAATTAAATGATCAATGGGTGGATTCGACAGGAAGCTTGGGATGATTTTTTCGGATCGGAGAGGTTCGGTCGTCAAAGATCGTCAAAGTTGACTCCGCAGGTGAAGTTCAAGCTGCCGCCGACCAAAGAGTTTGATATGCCCTACCCAGAGCCCTTCAAGCTTGCGCAAGGACCCCAGGATAGCGAAGGATATGTTAGGATGTCCAAATTGTGAAGGGCTTTCCAGCTGGACTTGAAGATGATGCAAGATCATATTTCTGATCTTGCGATATCTTGGGAATCATGCCTTCTCCAAGAAAGCATAGCTGGTTTGGCTGGCGAAGATCTCCTTCATCGTTTGGTTCATTCCATTCCATCTGGTTCCATGTTCTGAGGCCTGGAATGAAAAAGGTCATTCCAATCAGCTTTCGGCCTTCCAAGTACGTTCCGTGCTCCTGTCTGATTTCGTCAGCGAGGACCAAATCGCTGCGACTGTTCCGGTTGCCAGGCACGTGGATAGAGTGCAGATAGTCACCAAGGGAGGCAGCTTCTTTGTTATCGTCAAGGTGCAGCGGGAGCCCGGAAATTCTATGGCATGGCCATATCATAGGCCCATCCTCCATGGGGACCCAGGCAGTGGTGAAGGACGTGGCTCTGTCCCTCCCACATTTTTTGGATTTTGGACTTTGTCCCACCATGGAGCGTCAGGTGCCCAGTTGACCCAGTTAGATCCAACGGATCCCAAGGGCCCCTTTTCGTGTCACGAAAGTGCCAAAGATGTCGCGGCGGCTGGTTCTATTTGGTTTTATCCATTGAGGTTCACAGCAGCAGATCGATGTCTACAACACTGGCACATTGAAGGCATCCATGAAGTGGCATGCCAGGTGGGCTGCCAGATGCTGCCTGCCAGATGCTGCTTGATGTTGTCTTCTTTGTTCGCCGAAAACAAGGCCTCCATTTACAGTTCGATGTCCGGCCCAAACAGTTGAAGTGGGCCAATCAGACCCGATCTCAGTTCATACCTGCTGTTTTCCACCGAGTGACCTACTGTGAGCTTGGGCCAGTGCAAACTGATATGAAAGGACTTCGAAAACGATGAAGACGCCTTGGTTGCGGTCTTGTCATGTTGAAGCGTCTCACCAAGGTGCGATGTGTTGTCGAATTCGAGCCAAAGACTGCTTCCGTTTTTGATGGCCTCATTGCATGCGAGGCTCGGGGCAGTCCTGAAGGGCTTGTTTGACTTTACATTGCACATCATCACATCATTTGTAGCAGAGTGTGGGCACATCCTGAGAGCTTACCTTCCAGGGGGAATGAAAACTATGCTGTCAGCAACATACAAGATATATAAATTCCATGTATCATACTGTTGCCTATCAGGTAGCCAGTGCAGCTGCAAACGCCATTGTTGATGACGATGGCGACGACAGCAGTGCAAGGGCTCCGGAGGCGGCTTCAAACAACAATATTTCTTCGATCAGTTCCGCATCAACTTGATTTCTGTTGTTGTGAATCTCAGTTGCATTGTTGTAGGTGAAGCCATATGCATTGCAGTGCACTGGTGTTGGCAAGATGTCGCACTCTCAGTGCATTTTCGGGTTTCAGCTCCAACAAGCTGGTGCTAAACCATATGATGAGGCTCAAATTAAGGAATCATGGTGGAATTTTAAACATTACAGTTGCAGGAAAGCCCTATTTTTGATTGGAAAAGCATGCAAAAACCATGATTTCTTGATGGTTGATGATGAGTTTCTGCTGCGCAACTTATTTCTGATGACTTGGAAAGCCAGTGCCACAGTTTTGCTGAGGCCTCATTTATGCGTCCCTGGTGGTCAAATGCCACTTGTAGAGCCCCAGCCTTGAAGACCTGACAGCAGTGTGCGCGTCAAGGGAAGGCAGTAACACTTTTTCTGGATCGTCATTTTAAAGATCTTGGATATTCTTGGATAAACATTGGAATTTGACCCAGATCTGCATTTTTCATCCATTCTTGATCCATTCTTGATCCATGAATGAGTTTTAGACATTTTCTTGCTCTCCGGCTGAGGTTTGGAGCCGTCTCCCCTGGCAAGCGTGTGCCGCAGACCTTGGAGCTGCTCAACACCACTCCGGTAAGGGCCTTTGTCGTCTGTTTTTGGGGGATTTCACGGAGGGACTTGGGGAAAAAATAGCCAGGGGAGATGGGGATGTTGGTGAAAGAAAGGGGATTTAAGAGCAAAATCTATGGTCTATGGTGTCAAAACCCTGTAGATGAAGAGTGATTGTATATATATATATAGCATATATGAGATATAATATAATATATATATAATTTAATGTAATATAATATAGTATAATATAATATAATATAATACAATATGATATAATATATAATATAATATGAGATACTGTAATCTCCTTTAGTACGGGCCGTCCATTTTTGGGTACCCCCGTAACTTGACCCATGGCCACATCAGACCTTTGGGTTAGTACGGGCCGCAATTTTCAGGTGTCAGATTCCGTCCCAGTTTGAGGCTTGCTCTATATAATTATTTGATTGATTTAATATGACTAAAAATCAAGAGTTCCATATGTTTTTGTTGGCTTTATCCCATATTTTTGGTGAATTTTCTTCCAATTTCGACCCATCAATCCACGAGGCAAAGCAGAAACTGCACCGCCCAGGTCCGAGCTGTCTTCCGAGTGCGTGCCGTGCACGACAGCTCAGAGGCTGGAAGCTGCTTGGAGTGCAGCGCCACTGGGCCCCAAATCAGTGGAAAAAATTGGGGTTGCCTCAAGATTTGGAAGACGATCTTTATTGTTTATCATTTTCCCGACTTAAATTGGATTCGTTTGGGCCCATCACCTCGTTTGAGACAGACGCCAAAAACCTGGAACGGGTTGGGTTGTATGCTGCTGATGTCCATGCATGTTGCCAGACGGCACCTTTGCCTCCAGCAGCCTTCTGGGTCAGCCCAGAATCTGGAGTGGTGGGTGCCTCTGAGGTCTCAGATTTTTCAGACGTGCAGTTTTGTTGTGAGCCAAAGTCCAAGCTGAGGTGGAGCCAAACTGCAGCTTTACAATGACCTTCTACTTCCAGTCATGGAGCTCAGTATGTGTCCCAAGTTCGCTCCAAACTCGTCACAGCTTGGGGAACCGAGGTCTCACACCGTCAAAGAGCATGCATGTCAACGCTTCCAGATAAGCACACCTGGTGGTACACCACTGGCATGTGGCTCAGAACATCTCAGAATCTATGGAACTTCACTTGAAGCTGGGGGTAATATGACAAGCAGAACGGCTTTGTTGCGAGGTTGTCACATGCAAAGCATTTTGCCAACCGATTGGTGTAGTGATGTCCGCGAGGCAGGCTTTCGGTGGAAAACTCTGAAAAACACATTAAACAAATTGGTGGGGATGAGCTTGAGAGGGACACTGCCCTGCAGGTCAATGAACTTTGGCGAAGTCCCAAGTGGGCGAGTCTTCTCCCGAACGTGGCCATCTTAAGAAACTCGCTCTGCTAATGGAAGAAACCTGGCTCATGTCTCGAAAGGTAGCGGTGAGCTACCTGAGTTCCCCCTTGCGTAGCAAGTATTAGGGGGCGAGCGGTGCAAGTGCAAGAGTTTGGGCCGGTTATGTCTCGGTCCGCCTTTCAAGGGGGGGGGGGCCCCCCCTGTTTTTGTTTCGACCTAATACCTACATAGGTACATGCATGAGTATTGAGCACATTTATATGCGCCCTTCAAGGCTCAAGAAAGAGGTATATAGAGTAACCCTGTAGACAAGCACTGACCGGCAACAGGCTGAGAGTAAAAGAGTGCTGTCATTGGGGAAGACGCCTTAGCTGATCTTGAAGTAGACGCTAGGGCCCCTCTTCAAGTGGTAGCGGAGCAGTGATCCCTCATTGAGGGTGAGCTCCAGGTAGAGCCCAAGAAATGGCAAGCCATGGCTATGATGATGATGACTTCGACATTGTCGATGCAAATGAATGGAACCAATATGACTCTTATGCAATGAGAAGAGCACCCCAGCATACACAGATTCATATGACGCAACAGATGACCACAAAGGTTGCTCCAGCCTATGATGGGCGAACCAGCTTCTTTGCTTTTGAGGATGCAATTGATGACTGGTGTGACATTACGGAGTTAGAACCAGAGAAACGTGGTCCAGCATTGCGCAACAGACTGGAAGGAGATGCTCAACAATACAAGAGGCTATTGGATAGAGAACTACTCAGGGATCCCCATGAAGGAGTGCACTATTTCAAAAGATTTCTACGACCTCATTTCATCAAAGGTGCCCAGAACGTGTTCTTATACCGTTTCATGCAGTTCATGAAGTTCAACAGAGGAACCATGGATCTTCAGAAGTGGATGACTAGATTTCAACTCACTGGCAATAGACTTATTGAGTCTTGGATGGATTTACTTCCAGAAGTAACAGTGACTAGTCCTGAAGCAATTCTGTTTGTTCAACAACGACGTCAAGAACATGAACGAGATCAACAAGAGAGAGCTGAAGTAGCAGCAGCCTCAGGAACACCCCATGTAGCTGTTCCTTGGACAGATGAACTGGCACTAGCGGCATTCAGACAATTTCAGGAAGATCGTAGACAAGTACAGCGACAAGCATTCCCACTGGGTGAAAATTTGCTAGCATTGATTTTTGTAAGTCTAGCTGACCTGAGTCAAGATCAGAGAAACACACTCACAAGTATCATGACACATCGTGGACGAACCCTCGATCGATACAGTATTCAAGAACTACGTGACCTGTTTTTGGAAATGTTTTGCGCTACCAAAACAGCAGTTGACGATCCATTGATGCAACCCTCTGGCATGGCACAGAGAAGATCTTTCCTCGTACTGGATGAAGGTGAATTAGAAGGAACCGACGGCTATTGGGCCGAAGATGAAGAAGACGGCGCAGAAGGATTCCTGGATGCTTTAGAAGATGTTTTCTGGGTTTATGATGACGCCAACTTCACATGGTATCAGAGAAGGTTCCAAGGCAAATACATCAGACGAGGCAAAGGTAAAGGAAAGAGAAAAGGAAAAGGAAAAGGCAGAGGAGGACGAAGGTTCTTCAGATCAAGAAAAGGAAAAGGCCGAGGTAAAGGAAGAAGAAAAGGCCGTGCTCACATGGTGAGTGAAGAAGGTTATGAAGATGAATGGCAAGAAGAAGAATGGAATGAAAACTATGACGGCTATTGGGCCGATGATCAAACCTGGAATGAAGGCTATTGGGCCTATGATGATCTGTACTACATGGATGAGTATGGATACTTTCAGAAGAAAGGAAAAGGAAAAGGAAAAGGAAAGAAAGGCAAGAAAGGCAAGGATGATGATGGCAAAGGAGGAAAGCCAGGAGATGGAAAAGGCAAGTCGAACTATGTTCAACCTCAGACCACATCAGCTCCTGCCATACAGAATCAACCAACTCAACAAGCTCATTATTCTTCTGCAGCTTCAAGTTCTGGTCATGGTTTCTTTTCATTTGGAACAACTGAACCAGCACGTGTTGATGTTGCAGAGACAGAGCCAGCACGTGTTGATGTTTTGACATCCACGTATGCAGCACAAGATGAACAACGACGTACTCGTCGTGGAGGACAGAACCAACGTGATGCAAGAGCACATCAAAACAGGAGAGAAATGAAGAGATTCCCTGTTCTGGTTGGAGAAGTTGGTGCACTACGACAAGGTGTACAACAACGTCCAGCTGTAGTGCCCAGGCAAGTTGGTCTTCAAGAAGGTGAGGCTTCATGGAAGCCATTGGCAGAAGGCACATCATTGTTTTCACATGGATGCTCTACAGAGATAGAGGAACCATCACAGCAGAGTGCTTTTTCATTTCATACTGTACAAACTGATCTGGCATGTGAGAATGGACTAGCTTTTCACACAGAGAATTCTGCACCACCAACTGTGTGTATTCTGGATCTTGGATGCACAAGAGCTATGGGCTCTCGACGAGCAGTTGAAGCATTTTGCAGATATGTTGACTCACATCCCAACAGTGGACTCTGGTATGAAATTCAGCCAACAAGTTCAAGATTCTTCTTTGCAAACTCACAACAATCAAAATGTACTGAGAAGCTCGTGATATTCATGTATGATCATGGATGGAACACTCAGTTTACAGAATTCGACATTGTCGAAGAAGGTGATGTCCCATTGTTGATGTCACTTCCACAGATGAGAAACCTTGGATTTCAATTTGCACTTACTCCAGAGAAGGCTTATTTGTCCTGTGCACGTATTGGCATGAGAAAAATGGTTTTGAGGACAGCCATCAGTACTCATCTCATTCTCGACCTACAAGATGTAGCATGGTACATGAGCCAAGTTCATTTCAAGACTCCACAAGTCAAAAGTTTCTATTCACAACACGATCACTTTGAGTACAGTCAGATTGCTGTCAAACAAGATGATCATGAAGGAGAAGCTTTGGTGACTGGTGACTACTGGCAGGTTGATCCACTACGTCGTGAACTCATCAGGCACCACAAGGACAAGAGAATGAACTTACATGAGATGACTCGATCAGAGAAAACTCCAATTCCAAAAGATCAACTTCTTGATGAGAGAGAAACTCACATGGAATTCCAGAAGAGCAAGAAGAAGGTTCTTCACAAGGACAACTGGCGCACTGAGAAGAAGAGGTTTTCTGAACAGAGTGAAGAGTTCTGGAAGGGCAAGACCATCTACAAGATCAAGGAGGACTACGTGATCCCAGATGACATTGTCAGAAGTGACATTGATCGTGCAAAGCCCTTTCGTGGAAACATTGATGATCTTTTTCACCCTGAGTCAGCCTCTTCAGTGCCATCAGGGGTACAGAAGAAGAAGCCAAGCTCCTTAAAGAAGGAGGAAGGCAAACCGATTTCAAATGGACCAGGCTCGAAAAAGATTGAGGTAGGTCCACCTGCAGCCAAAAGACACGTAGGTAAGCAGAAACCTCAGGTTGTCGATGACTCTCAATCAGGTTCATCAAGAAAGAAGGTTGTTGTCTCCTATCCCAAGCTTGATGAAGAAGATGAGCTTGATAAGGTAGCTAGGGAGTTAGGTTTGGACAAAATTGATTCAGATGAACCTCAAGTCATTGAACCAAAACATTCTGCACCTGCGCGCAACCGTGGTAAGCAAGATTCAGAAAGTCAAGTTGAGAAACTAGGTAGTGATGCTCTTGAGCCTAGGCGAGTTTCGATTCCACTGCCTGGTAGTGAAGTGCAAGCCATGACACCAGCATACAGAAAGATGCTCAGGAAACTGGAGGATAGTGTGGAACTTTACAAGCTTCATATCAAACACTATCACATGTCTCCTACTCAATTCAGACGAAGGACTTCCATGTTAGGACTTCCTGACTCTGTCTATCAGAAGTATGAGGAGATGTATAACAAGTGTCGTGTGTGTAGTACTTCAATTGCACCACCGCCGCGAGCCAGAATTTCAGGCATACGATCCACCAACTTTGGAGATGTTATCTTTGTTGATCATGCTGAAATTCAGTTGAGGAAGAACAAGTACATGGTGTTGCTTGTTCTTGATGGTGCAACCAACTTACTTTGGGCTACGGCACAAAACTCACTGAACAACAAGGAGACCATTCAGGCTCTAAGGTTGTGGAGTGATGAACACAATTGTATGCCTAAAGCCATTGTAGGTGATGAAGCTTTCTTTACAGAAGACTTTCTGACTTATTACCGAACTCATGGTATCAAGGAATGTCCCTGTGGTTCAAGAACCCCATGGCCTAACAGAGCTGAATCAGCTGTCAGACTTTTCAAACGACAATGGCAAATCATGTCCTAGAACCTTGAAGATGATAGGTTCAAGGGAATCACTATCAGAGAAGCTGTGAAGCGTACTGTTTGGGCCAGAAACACTCAACTCACTGTTAGTGGTTATTCTCCGTTGGAAATTGCCACTGGTAGAAGACCACCAGATCTTCTGGATATTGAGACTTCTGATCCTGCTCAACTTAGTGTTGACCCTTTACCTGAAGATAGAACACAACTCGAGTTGCAAAGGTTAGCACTGAGGGCACATCAGGAAGCCAGACAAGCTGCTGACCTCAGACATGACATGGCCAAACGAACAATGCCATCAGATGGACCTTACAAACCAGGTGACAAGGTTTTCGTTTGGAGTTCCCCTGTCAATGCTAATGCTATTGCTTCAAAGGCATGGAAGAAGGAAAGATGGATCAGAGGTACTGTTATCTCCCAAGAAGGTGCTATGGTCAATGTTCATGTTGACAACGCAGTCATGCGTGTTAATCAATCGAAGGTGAGACGTGACCATGATGAATGGCATGATGTTGCTGTTCCTGGACTTGACACATCGGAACCTGTTCCACTTGCAGTTGAAGATGAAGATGACTATGAACCAGACATCGCTGAATATGCTGAAGCCTATTTAGGTGAACAAGCTCACTGGTTTTGTCAAACTAGCAAGTGTGATGTTGTGGAACTTTTTAGTAGCAACACTGGTCTTAGT